AAATGCATTAAAAGCGAAAAATCGAGGATAGTTTCGTGTGACATATGCCAAGTCTGGGCTATTTTGGTCTCAATGTCTCCGTCCTTCCCTCGTTATAAGGAAGGCACAGGCGGGCGCGGGCAAATCGAGCCTGGGCCTCCTGTGTGAAAGCGACATACTTTGGACGGAAGTGTGTATTATGAGTTGATAAAATGATTTGTTCCTATATACCAATACATTTGAAGTTGACCATGCACTGTGTATATTGTAGCACCATATGAAACACTTGCCTGAAATCAACCCATACCATATAAAACTGTGTATTTTAGGATCAAATCCACATTTCATTGCAAAAGCCCTTTCCTGAAATTAGATGTGAGGATGTGCGGAGAATGATAAATGAGCTTTCTATCAAGGTATCAGTAGTCAATTATAAGTTGCTCATTTGAACTTTTAATTTAAGTTGTAAAAGTAATTTAAAGAAGAAGATATTTACAGTTCCTTAGTTGTACAAATTGTCCCATAATCATACATCTTCTCAATCTTGATATTTTTAGCACTTAACCCAGAATTTCACATTTATGTTATTTGCCAAAAATGTTAGTTACATCCTTATCAATCTGAAGCTTTCAAATATTCAAATTTATAGAATGATTAATCTATTCTCTTCTTTTTAGGACCTCCATGTATTGTACCCTCATCTTCTTGCCAGTATTTTTAGCGTCATTCCCAACAAAGGCTGGGCTTTACACACTCTACATCGTAGATCACTGGAAGGTTTTTGACGTTTCCTTGGTCCCCACGGTCCTGTGTGGAGTCTCGTTGAAAAACTGGACAGAGATTCTTTCCTTCGTTATGAGTTTCCTATCACATGCTTACCTGTAAGTTGACATGATCCAGCGTATCAAAGCATGACGCAGCTTGTAATTTACAACTTTTCCTGTGATAGATAGGATAGATCACAGGCATAATCACTTAAAAACCAGCCCTTGTGGTATCGCAGTCACCACGCTTACCTTTCAAGTTGAGAGAGCTGGGTTCAATCCTTTGTCGGACCTCTACTCAAGGTCCGTTGAGGGGAAAGTGCTACCTTTACACTGACATCAATAAATGGTTCGACTTTCGCGCCTTCTCAGATAAGGACTTTAAATCGTAGGTACCTCGGATCCCCTATATCAATAGACCTTTCCCCTTTTAAGTGAAGTTTTGTTCTAGACAAATCTGGACAAAAATTTCATCACAGCTTGAAAGAGCATCACAAAATTAGTAATATTCCGAAGTTTCGTTGCAAAATGTTGTAAAATGTGGATAATATAGCCTTGCAAAGTTTGTCGTTTTTCAGTCATTTTGCATTACAAACGGGAAATTGATAATCAGATGATCAAACTGATTATCAATTTCCCATTTGTAATACCAAATGACTGAAAAACGGCAAACTTCGCAAGGCTATATTATCCGCATTTTACAACATTTCGCAACGAAACTTTGGAATATTACTAATT